AATTTACAAAATATCTTCATGGAACATGATCTTTACTTAATATCCTAATGATTTTTGGCATAAAAGAAAAATTGCTAATTTTGATCCATACAATGTATTTTTGGCTAATGCTACAAATATACCCGTTGCTACTTATGACTGGTTTTGTGATCCAGGGACACATATCACCTAAAAGAATAGCCCAAGGATTAGTTATGATAGGTAGCTATTATTTATATGAGTGGTCTTAAGCTGTTGATTTAATTATTAGTTAAATATAACTAATATACTTTATATTATATTATATTATATTATATTATATTATATTATATTATATTATATTATATTATATTATATTATATTATATTATATTATATTATATTATATTATATTATATTATATTATATTATATTATATTATATTATATTATATTATATTATATTATATTATATTATATTATGAATGTTTTAAGTGTTCAATGAATTTTAATAGATGGAAATTAATAGTTTTGTATTATATTAATTAAATTAAAATTTATTTTAATATTATATTTTTAATAATCAGAGCATCACATTTTATTTCTATAGCCATAGTCATCTTGGAAGTGTTCTTATACTGTGGGTTTTTAAAGTATATAAGATTAGAGAAATTAGCTGTCTGTTAGCTTCAGTGCTAACAAATAAAATGCAGAGCCGCCACGCTAAGCTCTGCAAGTTAGATGAGAGGATAGTAGCGCAGATACTCTGTGAAGCGCAGCGAGTTGTCAGCCGAAGACCCATTTTTGTGGAAACGGTATTCCCTTGACGATAAGCTCTGACAGCTAACCAGAGGCAGAGAGGAAAATAGCACAAAGGAAATTCTACCTTCCTCTTCATCTTTAGCTTTCTCTATGCATGCCGGTGTTTACTGGATGTCACCGCTAAATATAGCTTCCATTTCCTTATTTTTATGCCCTCCACGTCCTCTCTCTCTCTCTCTTTATCTCTCTAGGTTGGAGATGAGATCCTGGAGATCAATGGGGAGAGCACCAAGGGCATGAAGCACGCCCGCGCCATTGAACTGATCAAAAACGGTGGCCGAAAAGTCCACCTGGTCCTAAGGAGGGGTGACGGCTCTGTGCCAGAATATGGTGGGTCAATCTACGAGAACATCCCCTTCTCCCCTGTCTTCACCCCTTGAGGAGTTCCCCCACGGGGGTCGGCAACACCACCACCTCTTCTTTTCTGCGCACTGGCCCTCTCCTCTGACCTCCTCCTGGGTGATGGGCCTTCCACTCGCTGCCTCTGCGCACTGGGCTAGCCTAGGGGACTCTGGGATATGTGGCTTTTGGGTGGTGGTTGTGGCACATGCTTTTCGTAATACTTCACAAGAATTAAAAACAAAACACACAAAAAAACGCAAAGCGAGGAAGCAGAAATATTAACGTTTCTAAAACTGGATATACGTTTATTGTTTTTCAGAGGAAAAAAATATGATAAACTCCGTCATGCCCCCCGTTGGGGCGGCATGACCATGTCAGTGAGTTGTAACATATTTATGATATTTATTGAAGGTGAATGTAAGCTACTGAGAAGGGTCTATAAGGAGATTCCATGACTACAACGCATTCTGGTATCATTAGCCGGTTTCGGTAAAAACTCACAATACTGTATTCCACATGTTCACAGTTATTTTTGCACGTTGTACATGTCAGCTGCTTCTTTGCGAACTTTGCAGATGGTTCTTGAACTCCACATTCCATTATCGTTTTTTTTGTTGTTGTTTCTAACGGATTGTTATCAGACGTTACATCCTTTAATTTACAGACAGAAAGCAACTCACTTATTGAGCATAATGTCAGTGCCGCATGATGTCAGTGAATATCTAAATGTCTTTTTTCCTTGTCAATTTCCATAATATTTATGGAAAATTCACGTACTAGTTTGCCGGTTATTTTTTATGCTTTTGTTTTTTTCGGTCTTGACCATTTAAAGATGCCCATTCATGTATTTTGTCAAGTTCAGAATGTGATATAATGTGTCCTTTCCTGCACCAACATGATATCTCTGTGAGGTTGTATATTTTTATACCATTTTGTACTTTTCCTCATTTTTTTTCTTCCACGTCTCACCACTTCTGTTTTCTTTCTGTTTGCAATGTAAACTGCTTCATATGGTGTGTGTGTGTGTGTGTGTGTGTGTGTGTGCTTGTGCACATAAGCTTGTTACGGCATCCACATCTCACTGTGTTTGGGTTGGTTTGCTGCTGGGTGAGGATGTGTGTGTGTGTGTGTGTGTGTGTGTGTGTGTGTGTGTGTGTGTGTGTGTGTGTGTGTGTGTGTGT